GAGACCATTCTGGCTAATATACTCCTCATCACTGATTAACTATGTGTCCTTGGACAAGCTACATTTCCTTTCTCAGCTTCAGTTTCCTCATTTATAAAGTTGAGATAATAATATCTATGACATGGAGTTGACATAAGGGTTAAGTTAAGTAATGAATGGAAAGCATTTTGCACAGTATCTAGCACATAAAAATGTTCACTAAATGTCTCCAACTAAATCACTTTTACCTCATTAAGATTACACTGAACAGAACTAAGCATAATTCACAATCGCCAATTATTCAACACAATAAGCAAAAATATCCTTTTAAATGAATCTTGATTCAAATTCTCTAATACTGAGAGGCTGGATATTTCCATACTGAATCAACACTCAGCACTTTCCTCTTACTGGATGCTATAATACAGCCCTGAGTTATATGTGTTTGTGTACACTCCTCACTATCACACACACGATTATCCATCCTTGTGTTACCTCCAGAGCACACAATGCTCAAAACATGGTATACAGGATAGGCAAAGCAGGATGGTGGGTAGGTGAGTGGACGGATTACCAGATATATGGAGGATAAAAGAGAAGACTCTTGAGAGTCCCTTGGACTCCAAGAAGATCAAACCAGTCAATTCTACAGGAAATCGACCCCGAATATTCATTGGAAGGACTGATGCTGAAGCTGAAGCTCCAACACTTTGGCCACACGATGCAAACAGCCGATTCATTGGAAAAGACCCTGATGGAAAAGACTGGAAGGCAAAAGGAGAAGCAGACAGCAGAGGATGAGATGGTTAGATAGCATCTCCGACTCAAAGGACACGAATCTGACAGGAGACAGTGGAGGACAGAAGAACCTGGAGTGCTACAGTTCATGGGATCGCAGAGAGTCAGGCAGGACTCAGCGTGTTAACAACAGCAACAATGAAAATAGAATAAAAATCATGAGGGCAAAAGAAGAGAATGTTTCAAATTGAAATATCCAAAATAATAATGTTTTTAGGACTTTCCTGGTGGTCCAGTGGTTAAGAATCTGCCTGCCAATGCAGGGGACAGAGGTTTGATCCCTGATCCAGGCAGATTCCACATGCCACAGGGCAACCAAGCCCATGTGTCACAACTACTGAAGCCTGCGTGCTCTAGAGCCCAGGCTCCACAATGAGAGAAGCCACTACAATGAGCAGCCCTCACACCGCAACTAGAGAGTAGCCCCCACTCACCTCAACTAGAGAAAGGCCACATGCAGCAACGAAAACCCAATGCAGCCAATAAATAAATACAAATTTTTAAAAAAATAATGGTTTTGAATCATGAGCATATAAAATGGATAACTGATCATTTCTTGCCATGTTTATTATTCTGTTCATGCGTTTACATAGTACCAGACTTCCTGATGAAACCCTATCAGAAGACACAGTCCAACTGTAAGGACTTACTGCCTTCTAATCTTGCTTCCTCTCTACTGAAGATATTTAGCAACACTCTGAAACATGCAAGAGGTACTTCTCATATTTACCAAAGTACGGAAGAATGATAAGAAATAGAAACAAAATTGTGAAACCTGATGTATTTGACCTTTGCTTTTTCTATGTGCTCAGACATCTAAGTGTGACATCAAGAAAGTTCATGCGTAGAATTCCTCTTTCCAGACTTTGAAACAAGGATCCCCAATAGCTGTCGCAACATTCATTCAGTGATCTTGCATCTAAATATGTGAATGGTTTCTACACACTTAAAAGGCAGGAGTAGAGATGCAGATGTAGAAAATGGACATGTGGACATGGAAAGAGTGCGTTGAACTGAGAGATTAGGCTTGACATAAACACATCACCCATGTGTAAAACAGATAGCTGCTGTATAGTATATGGAGCTCAGCTTGGCGCTCTGTGGTGACCTAGAGGGGTGAGATGCTGGGGCAGGAGGAGGGTGGAAGGAGGGGAGGAGGGGGAAGGGGTTGCAAGGAAAGGAAGGTCCAAGAGGGAAGGGTTATATGCACACATACAGCTTACTCACTTTGTTGTACTGCAGAAGCACACAACATTGTAAAGCAACAATACCCCATTTTTTTTAAAAAAAAGGGGGTAGATGAATGAAAAGTGACCTTATATCCAAATATAGAGGACGACAGAAATGTGAAAAGTCACTAATTTAATTAAATAAAACTGGTAAAAGAACAACTAGGTTCAGAAAATAATCCTTTACTGGAAACTGTTCTGTAATATACAAAATACTTTTCTATGCATTGTCTTATTTTTGATCCCCACAAATCTCTTAAGAAAGCACAGTTAAAAAAGAAAGAAAGAAAGGAAGAAAACACAGTAGATTATGCCTGCAGTTTATAGACATAAATACTGACACAATGAGAAGATGATTTATCCCACGTCTCTAACCAGTAAGTAGCAAAACTGGAACTCTTACCCAGGCCTTGTTAGTGTACATTCTGCTACCCCAAACTAATGCAATTTGGTAAACAGGGAAATTTGTTAAAACGTAACTTATTTCTATTTAAAAAGAGACAGAAGAGCCAGCTATGTTTTTTTAAAAGTTGTAAGTAGCATTATATTAGAATTCCTCCTGGACTATTATAAATCCTTTCAAGCAGTACAATAATCCCTTTATATAAGGATAATGTCTCCCCATCATTAAAATAATGCACACTCCCTAACTGCAGATAATAACAACAACAAAGCTCTCTTCACTCGATACATATATGCCAGACTCTGTCCTACATTGTCCACACTCACCGACTTCAATTTTTACAGCAGTCTTATGAGGTAGGTATTATTATTATGACCATCATCATCATCATTATACAGATGGAAGAAAGTGAAGCATAAAGAGGCTGTCATTTGTCTGTGCCCATTTGGCTAGGAAATTGGTTCAGCAACTTTCAGCTGCAATATTATGCTGCCTCTGGAAACAGAAGCCTCTTTATCCCAACCCCTGCCTTATTAGATTCAACCAATGGTAACAGAAAATCTGTAGTGAGATTCAATTCAGTTCAGTTTCTCAGTCATGTCCAACTCTTTGTGACCCCATGAACTGCAGCATGCCAGGCTTCCCTGTCCATCACCAACTCCTGGGTTAAAATGGTGTTAGTGAGATTGTGTACAGTAATATAAATTTAATATTAATATAGTGTACGATAATAGTAAAAATTGTGTTAGTGAGATTAACACAATTTAAACCCTTTCCACGTCTGCTGATGCAATACCAATCTTGCTGACCTGTGATTACACTTCATCAAAGTGCTGGAGAACTCACATATAAAGTACCTAACAGAGAACCTAGCACAAAGCATGCAGTTAACAATTACTGAGAGTCTACTGTGTGTCTGGCAATATTCTAAATGCTTTTCTCTACATATGCACTCCACAAATGTTAGCATGGTTCTCTTTTTGTCTAAAGGATGTGCTATGTATACGCTCAGTTGCTCAGTCATGTCCAATTCTTTGCAACCCCATGGACTGTAGCCCGTTAGGCTCCTCTGTCCGTGGGACTTCCCAGGCAAGAATACAGGAGTGGATCGCCATTTCCTCCTCCAGGGGATCTTCCCGATCCAGGATCAATGCAGCTCCTGCATTGGCACGTTGATTCTTTACCACTGAGCGACCTGGGGTGAATCAAAAGCTGTTTCTTTGGAAATTAAGCTGGGCAACGGAAAAAATTATTTTCATGAAGGCAAGGACTGTTATATCAATGGGAATAAACAGCTGTTGTATGTGGGTTGTTAGGGAATACTGTTGCCCCGGCCTTTGATGAGACCCAGATGCACATGAGAAAGTACGAAACGAAGTATCAGAGAGGAGACTGAGGTCATAAGCTGGACTCCCCACCTACAGAGAGATTTCCTCTCCAGGAAAAGTAAAACTTAAATCACAAATACATTAGAAGTTTGATGGATTTTCCAAATCAATTCTGGGAATTTTAAATAAGTTACCTCTGTAAGCTCTTTTAAATATTATGTGTTCTCGACATTTTTAAAGTAAAAAAAAAAATACTGTATTTAAAGGAACTATAAACACAAAACTTCTCAGAAATCCACATATCACACAGAACAAGGTACAACAGTCTTCCTTGCTGAAACTACAGTTTGGAGAAATTGGGTTTCACAATAAAACTAACCCACTAATTTATTCAAGAATTGATCAAAAACTACCTTGTGTACTTCGTGTTAAATGAAGTAGAAACTTTCCCTTCCCACTATGGAAAGAACCATTCTTTAAAATGTCAGTGACTACTTAATTTTTTAACTTTCTATTCTACGATGGAGTATAGCTGATTAACCATGTTGTGATAGCTTCAGATGCACAACAAAGAGACTCAGTCATACATATATGTGTATCCATTCTTCCCCACTCTCCCCTCCCATCCAGGCTGCCACCTAACATCAATGACTATTTCTAACTTGCCACAATGATTAGTTCAAATGACATCAAAATGGTCACATAAAATATTATGACATTGATTTGGGGGAAATTATATTTATATATATATGATATTAAATTCAAATTTATAAATACATAAATTTATGAAATTAAAAGCAAGTTCTTTCATAAAAACATATTCAGCATCAGTGGACCTCAGAGTAAGTCTAAAGATGCAGGATGTCTGCTCCATCTAGTAAATTATCCAAATAGATCCATATCTTTCTCCTCCTTAAGGTTCTTCAAATTCCTAGTTGATTAATATATTACATCTAAACAAGAAAGATGTAGAACTACTTACAGTAACAGAAAGGGGGAAAGGTGGGAGGCAGTAAACACAACTAAGGCAGAGATCTGGGTCTCACTGTACATTCCACAGCAATATGAATGATATTGATTTTCAGATTAGCTGTTCTTTTATATTATTCATACCTCCTTTTCCCTCTATTAGTGAAGAGAACTAAATTGTCTGTGTACTTGCTTGAGTCCACTGAGAGGCCTGAATCACCACTTGGAAATATCCATCATTCCTTTAAGATCAATCTCTACTAAAAGCCTGCAGCAAAGTGTTAATGCACTAACCTGTCTCCGGTTAATGGCAAAATAATGGTGGCTTGAGAAGAAAACACAATGAAAGATAATCTCATTTGAGGGCTGCAAAATAAGAAAAGAGGCAGTTAAAACATTTTTGAAAGAAATATTGATATAATACAGATGTATAGCTAAGGAGTCTCAATTAAAATCAGTCTCACTGAATGGTCCAGGCTTCTTTTAAATGGAACCCCTAAGTAGATACATGAACTCTGCTCAAAATTACCATTATCACATAAGTCATTCTGGATTTAGTCAGTGCTGCTCAAGACTCAGGCACTCCTTCCTCTCTGACCCACAGGGCCATTTTAGGAAGAAATTACCTAGAAAGATAAATTCCAGGCCAGTGGATTTTTTTTTTTTTTTTAGAAAGCTCTTTCTTAGGCCTTCTACCTCATCTCTTTCAAGGAGGCCAATCCCTTCAGAATGATTATCATAGCAAGTTTAGGGCTGGAGACAAGCCAGTTTGATTTAATTATCACAACTATGAGAGGAGTTCATACAAGTTATCCTGAGGTAGGATTACTTAAAGAGTGTCAAGGACAATGTGAAAGAGAAGAACAAATCACATTTTGATTAGACATGTTCGGTTCTCTAAGTCTTAAGCATCATACTTCTGACTGGCAACAACTGTCCTAGTTAGCTACACCTCTTAAGCTCTAAGCCTTGATCTCAAAGAATGACTCCTGTTTCAAAGACACTCTATGCAACGTTAATTAAGATCTGAACCCGAAGCTGTAACACTCAGCTCTATAAACCGAAGAGCAGAATGATGCCCAAGGGTTACACATATTTGAAAAGTCATTCTCTTCAGTAGTCACCCTTTACTCATTTCCTACAATATATTATGAGTTAGTAACTGAACAACTAAACTTGTGCCAGAGAACTGTGTATTATAGAATTCCAATTTTAAACCAGACCAAATAAGAGACCTACTTCTTGGAAAGGTACTGAAATGACCCACTGCTTTTGATCAAAATCTATGAGACACTCTGCACACTCTTGGCTTAAATCAGAAAATTTATCAAGAACTCTCTCTCCTGCCTTTGACACTTAAGGATATAAGGCCTTGTTTATTTTTCTTTCCTAGACAAGTTTACCTTAGACCCTGTCCAGAAATGAGTGTTATACTTGGCTTCTTAAACAGGAGACTGATGACTGAACAAGGACAAGCATACATTTTTATAGGGATAAGCTTACTGCTGCCAATAACTGAAAGCAAGGATTTCCTAGGCCTCTACAGATTGTTTGAAGTTACTTGCAACATGACTTTCAAAATGTTTTGATCATCCAAGCCTGTTTTAAAGAAAACATTTGGGCTAACACGACTGAAAGAAGCAATATTTAATGATACAGCTCCTTTTCATGTCCTTTCCATTATCTTGATAAACGTTGCATTTCCTCATTGCATTTTTTTTTCTTTAAAAAGAAAAAAAAAAAAAAGAGGAGGAGGAAAAAAGCCTCAAAAGCCTAGTATCCTAGGGTTACTTTTAAATAAGAAAGCCACTAATTTCTGGTTACCTCTAAATAAGAGAGTAAGCTGGCTATCATAGCAGTTATGCTTTTTATAGGAGACAAACCAATCTTTCCTAGTAAGGCTTATTGCATATATAGAACAGTTAAATTTTAAACCAGCCACACACCCACACATTGTGTAAACACAAGTCATTTCTTTAAACACACACACACACACACACACACACACACACAAGTGCCTTTTCTGGTAGTGGGTTATTAACACATGCTCATTTGAAGTTTACCAACACTTTTTTTCTTAATGAGGACCTCAATAATGCTAAGAATTGTGCGGAATGGAAAATATATTATGGGTATTATTAGCATAAACTTTTAAAGTGATAAATTATGAGAAAGCATAAATGAAATTCAAAACAGATGAAAACTCAGAAAGGAAAAGACATTTGGAATCATATCTGAAGATACTTCCCCAAAGCCTGAGCCAAGTTTCTGGGATCCAGATGAAATAAGCCCTCAACAACTGAAGGGCTGTCCTAATAACAGCGTGTGTGTGATAAGACCTTGAGGCACTTAAAAATCAACACTTCAGGAAAGGCTTTCCCTGCAAATGGTTTCCAAAAAAGGATACCCTCTCTAGCCTTTGGTCTACTTGCCTCCACCTCAAAGTCCCCTGCTTAGAAAAGGAAAGTAGGAGAGATACCTTACAAATCTCTCTGTAAGTTGTTGGACAAAATTGTAAATTTGAATCCAGTTATTTGCCACACTCCCAGACCTGAAAAAGAAAATTGAACGAATCAGAAAAACAATATTTACAGGGGTGTCACCTGACCTCTTCTTCAAGCCAAGTTAACAGGATCAGCAGCTGAAAGGTAGGTGCTACAAGAACCTAGGAAGTCTACCCATCTTCAGGGACCACCTGCCTGCTAACTGTCCGGAGTTAAGATCCCAGCTCTTCAAATAAACACAGCCTGCCTTAGAAGGAAATGCAAACCACACTGAGTACGTTAACTGCAGACTGCCAAGCTACAATGAAAGTGCTGTGCTCAGGATAAAACCCGGCAAACTTTAGCCAGCGTGAGGCGTTGAGGGCTGAGGGACCCAGAAGGAGTCTCATGTGGGTTCCAGGGTCGCAGAAGGTTACCCCAAGTGACGGCACTCCCATTTCCCAAGAAACCCCACCACTGGCCAGCAGTAACTGCCCATCTCCCTAGAGAGCCTAGCAGCTCGGGGCTCCTCCTATCACCCCGCAGCCCGCACCGATCCGAAAGCGCTCGCCTTTCGGACTGAGATAGCAACAGGGCGCCCATCACCGGAGTTACCCCTCACCCCTCCCCAGGTAGCACAGACACCCCAGCCTCCCCCCACCACAGCTCACCACCCAGGACGCTCCCCCGGAGACCCTGGATCCCTTTTCCCGCACTCACTTGTCCAAGACGAAGTAGAGATCAAAGGCTCCGTGGCAGGAGGGCTGCTCCTGGGCGCTCAGCAGCCCCCCGGGACCGCTGAGAGCTAGCAGCCACAGCCCGGGGACCAGCCAGCGCCCGGAACGGCGGGCCGGGGAGCGCCCCGCCACCATCCTGCGACCGGGGGTCTGCGGCTCCCTCCTGCTCGCAGCCCCCTCGGCTCGGCTCGGCTCCACTCGGGGGCGACGCTAGGCTGGTGGGAGTGACCAGGGACGCACCCTGAGGTGGGGGGATAGCGAGTCCCCTAGGGCGCCGGCGCCTGGGTCAGCGGGACCCACAGGCTGACAGAGGGAGGGAGACGGGGAAGGAGGGAGGTCCTAGGAGGACAAAGGGAGACTCCGCCGCCGCCGCCACTGCCGCCGGAACTCTTGACGAATCCCCGTGGAAGAGCGATCCGGCCCTCCCCCTCCCGATTCCGGAGAGTTCCTGCAGACGACCGGGGCCCGCGGTGACTGCTCGCAGCAGAAGTTCCGCCGCCGCCTCGGGTCGAGCCTCCAGCCTCCGCTCGGGAGCGCGGGTCCTCCGGGACAGCCGCCCGGGACGCGGCCGCCGCCGCGCACACTTAAAAAGCGGAGGACCCCTCGGCTCGGGGTTCCCCGCCTCCGCCCGGCACTGCAAACTTTTCTCCCTCGTACTCAGCTCTGGCACCGCGCGGCGGCCGGGCGGTCCTCTTTAGGGGAGGAGGCCGGGCGGCTCCGGAGAAGCCACTCGCAGCCCAGGCCAGAACCGCAATCCGGCCGGGTCCCCGCGGTGGCAGTGTGCGCCCGAGGGCGGGGCCTGAGCCGAGCCACACACGCACACTTGTGGGTTCGTGCCGAGCCGAGATGACTAAGGCTTGCCAGCTTTTGGAAAGGAGAGAAGTAGTTTAGAAAAACAGATGTCCTCTAGAAACTAAACAACCCCCCTTCCTGTACCCTGCAGGCTCGGCCTGGTGCAGCGCTGTGGAGAGCAGCCCTTGGCGGGGCTGGGAGACTGAGGTCTAGCGACTTGGAGAAAGGGCATGCCCCCTGGCTCTGCCCCACCCCCATCATCACAAGCACACTTGCTGCTCCCGTATCTAAAGAAGGCAACTTCCTCTTTTTTTTTTTTTTTTTTTTTTTTTAATAAAACTACTTCATCGTTTCATCTCACTAAAGCTAGAAACTTCTCGGTGTGGGGGGTTGGGGAGAGTAAAGGTGGGAAACTTCAGGAGTGAAGTTGTACCTCAAAACATTGCATCCCACTGACATTCATCTCAAGCTCCAGATATTAAGAAGTTCATCTCAGAGCCAGCTGGGTCACTCTTGCCAAATTTGCACAGGAGCCAGCTGGGTCACTCTTGCCAAATTTGCACAGGAGCAAAAGTTTGCAGGCATTTTGGATTCTCTGCTCACCAATTCTGCACTCAGCCTCTCCTCTCTGCCCCCACCACAACCTGCCTTCCCCCAGTGGAAACTGGCTATCAGAACCTAACTATCTGATGGTATGTTGGTCGCTCAGTTGTGTCCGACTCTTTGTGACCCCATGGATTGTACCTCCTCAGGCTCCTCTGTCCATGGGAATTCCCAGGCAAGAATACTGGAGTGGGTTGCCATTTCCCCCTCCAGGGGATCTTCCCCACCCTGGATTGAACCCTCCTCTCCTGAGTTTTCTGTATTGGCAGGCAGATTCTTTACCACTGAGCCACCAGAGAATCCCACCAGTGATTGAGAGTAATGTTCAGTGTCACCTCCTCTTCATTTGAATTAAGTCAAGGCTTTATGATAAAAAGTTCATATAGTACTACATTATATGTTGTCTCAGCAATTTGAATAGTTGTGGTGCATATTTAACTTTTCGTTTACATTGTCTTTGACTACAACCAGATTTGCAAGCTGTTTGAAGATAGAAATCCATCACCTTAGGATCTACTTTAGGTAAAGAATCTGCCTGCCCATGCAAGAGACGTAGTTCAGTCCCTGGGTTGGGAAGACCCCTGGAGAAGGAGATAGCAACCCACTTCAGTATTCTTGCCTGGGAAATCCCATGGACAGAGAAGCCTGGCAGGCTTTAGTCCATGGGGTTGCAAAAGAATGGGACACAACTTAGCGCTTAAAACAACAATATGCCTGGCACTGTTCTAGGACCTAGAGTTAAAGCTCAGAATAAGATGACAAGCCCCAGTTTCCATGAAGCTTGCAGTCTGGTTGAGGAGGAAAAGCAGACAGAAATACATAAATAAATGTCCATATAGAAGGTAGCTCACAGAGATTTAAAATATGATCACATGATAAAGACCAACTAAACGACTAACAAAAAAGGTAGCCACTCCAAGAGGTAGAGAAGGAAACATTTCCAGTGACTGCAACTTTCCAGAAGTATTAGCTTAGCACATTCAAGAAACAGAAAGAAAAACAGTGTAACTGGAGTTTTAGGAGAAAGAGGAAGCAAGAGAGCCAGACAGGGGCTAGCTAGTATATGTGCTTCATAAACTGTGATAAAGAATTCAAATATTTTATATTGTGCGACTGAAGCCCATTAAAGGAGTTCTAGGGGTGGGGAAGGGGATAAATTGTTATGATCTATGTTTTTTATAGAGCATTATAGCTGATATGATACAATGAATTTGGAGACAGCAAGAATGAAAGCAAGAAAAGCAGTTAGGAGACTAGTGCAGTACCAGGGCATGATAAAATGGTAGCTTGGACCAGCATCCCTGTAGTGTCTGAACATAAAGATAGGAATGGGTAAGAACTTCGGTAAATACACGTAGATCCCCAGTTTGGAAATGTCTGCCACTTAGAGATGGAAATTCCACTATCATCCACTGGACTTACCACTTCTTACCTGATAGGGTAAGGCAGGTACTGACGGGCCAAGTGGCTGATTGAGTGGAAGATAATTTAACACTTTTGTTAGAAAGAAACACAAATCCTCCACTGTTTTCAAGTAAGTGAACTTCAGAGGAAAGAAATGTTCAATGAGAGGGAAAGCTATATTATCAGCATCCCAATTCTGTACACCCTGGTCTCATCTTAAGTTTCTGAAATTCTGATTCTTCTGCAGCCATAAGGCCTCCAGGAATATGCTGCCATCTCTCATTTCAGATTTAGGCCCTGTTGTGGATACACTGGAAGTCCCATGGCTCAGACGGTAAAGAATCCGCCTGCAATGCAGGAGACCTGGGTTCAATCCCTGGGTCAGGAAGATCCCCTGGAGAAGAGACTAGCAATCCATGCCAGTATTCTTTCCTGGAGAATTCAATGGGCGGAAGAGCCTGGCAGACTATAGTCCATGGGGTTGTAATAGATACATTCATCTCTTAGACTTCCCATAGCAAAAGTGAAACAGGCTGACTTTCAGGAAGCTTACATTAACAGCTTGTTAAAGCTTTTTATTCAAGGTTTTTATTATTTACTGTTGGTCAAAATTGATCTCCATTTTCAACTTTCATTTTAATCAAGATAGAATCCAAGATACCATATACCTTTAGCAATGAATTTAGCATATTAGTACATGACTGAATAAAATGAGGGTTGGGGGGATTGCCAAAAAGCAATAACCATTGCTTTCAAGTTAGAAGATGACAGAAGGTAAGGAAATATGTGTCTCATGCACTCTGTCCTCATGAGGAAGCATTTTAAATTCACATGCATTGGCTTCTTTTCCCCAGGTTCCTTGACCCATTTCTGTTCAATTTCTGGGATGCCACAAACTAGTTTAAGGACCCATCTTGTGTTAGGAACAAACTAAAGCAAAATACTTTGGAACTAAAACTTGTTCTTCCTCCAAATTCCTAGGCCCTCCTAGACGTCTCTCATTTGGTTCTTCTATCCTGACAAAGAAGGAAAGATTAATCCTTGTTGATTTTTTGGGTAGTTAATCCAGCCCAGTTCTGAAATTTTTATCATTGCAGCAGGGATGTGGCTTCATCTAGCACAGGCCAATAATTAACTGAATCATTTTCCTCTAATATAAATGAGTGGGAAGGTCATTCATTAATCTACTGGGGCAACCAACTGTCCCGATTTGTCCCAGACAAAGAGTGTCCAGGGACATGCAACTTTCAGTGCTGAAACTGGGGCAGACACTGGGATGGTCCCTAAAGAGGGCTGTTAGTCACACTATTTCCAAGAAATAATGAGGGAAGGTGACAGTGAGGGCAGACTTAGGAATCTCAACAAGCTATGAAGTAGGAGAGGTCACAATAGTAAAACTTTCTCTTCCCCCACTCTAGGGAGAGAGGACTCAGGCCTTGTGTCAGCTGGACAGTAGCCAGGTAGAGCTTCAAATTGGCTTCTGTACCATTACAAACATTCTGGCACTCTGTTTAACTTTCTTTTATTTTTTTTTTTAATTTATTATTTTTATTTGGCTTCTTCAGGTCTTAGAGCATGTGGGATCTAGTTCACCAACTGGAGGTTGAACCCAGGCCCTTTGCATTGGGAGCACAGAGTCTTAGCCACTGGACCACCAGGGAAAACCCTAACTTTCTATTTTAAATCAAAAATGAGATAAGAAATGCAGATTTTTAGCAGAGGGGGGACAGTTCAACTGAATGATTTAGATAAATAAATCTAAAATATTTCTCTTTGATCAAATTATCTGCATTTCTGCTGAAGTAGTTTGCTTCATAAACCATACAAGCCCCTACTCTTTGAAAGTTATTCTTTGTATCAAACTGAAGTTCTAGTTCAACTTTAGAATTTATTACCTTATTATAAAATATGCTAATAAATCCAAGGACATTTTAAACTCAGTTTAGGACACTTAGAGTAGCTTGACATTGACACCTGATTAAAAGTATCCACTAGGCCTTTGGTCATGTCCCATCTCTTAAACCCACAGAGCTCCTATGGATTTTATGTTAAATTTTATTTACTTACTAATTTTTATTTAAAAAGTATTTATCAATACCTACTAGGTATCTGGTAATATTCTAAGCATATAACTTATGCTCTCAGGAGTTCATCTTTCCAATATCCTATCATTAATTTATTTCTGTCTCCTCTGACGCCAGCAAAGAATAAACAGAAGAGACAAATAAGTTACAATAATAAACACAGGAAAATAGAAATGAATGTATCCTTTATGTGTAAAAAGTCACATAATCTATATTATTTATAAGTAGATAACTTTGTATGACATGTACAGTGACCAACATCATGCTCCTGGAAATTACCACAACGGAAGTGATTCATATTCACAGTACCTGTAGAGTGATTCATTATATAACTACCATGATTCACAAGAAGACAATAAGTACCTATAGATGACAAAGTCTATTTAAACTTTTATCAGTATAGTCAATAAAGAGCTAGATTTCCCCAACGTCTGAACTAGTTCCTGACAGTGAACAAAATGCTTTTTGAAGGTGCCGATTACTTCTAAGTTAATATCTAGCTTGATTGTTGTGTTTGACAACAGGGGATGTCAACCAATAGCAGAAAATGATTACTAACATCTGCATTTGGGATTGAAAGAAAGTGAAAGTTGCTCAGTCGTGTCCAACTCTTTGCGACCCCATGGACTATACAGTCCATGGAATTC